AAATTCTACAATTTTTTTCTGCTACGAAATTCTTAAAACAATGCTCCAGCATAGGATGTTAAGTTTTCTTTAAACCAAATATAATTGATAGCATTATCTGCTACATCAGTGTATGTTAATGACAATAATTTTAACATAATCAAAATCAAGATATTTTTAGCAACAATAATTTGTCATTTTAATATATTGGAAATTTTCTATTGTTTTAGCAATTTTTTTTGTGATTGTGCTTCCTCAGCAGTCAAATGTAACTCTTTTTTAGAGGAAGGAAAAATCATTCGAGCAATTTATCTTATCTCATCCTTTGATTGGCATTAGAAACAAATTTTAAGTCAAAGAGTAATGCGAAAAAAAAAGAAAAGCATGCGATAAGCCTGATAGAAAGATTTGAACATACTTATTTCTTTTTATTGTTGATGTACGACCTACCCACATAATGGATTTGTCCACATAATAAATCTATTCACATAATGTATTTGATAAATAAGGCAATCACATTCGCTTTGTGATTTAGAATCTCAGTTAGGAAAAACACGAGGTAATTTTTAAATCTAGTTTTGAAACATGTTCGCTTTTTTAGAAGACTCCCTGGATTAAGCGAATCTGCATTTGTCTTCATTTGCAAAAATCAAGTAATACTCTCATGGTTAGTCCTTTGACAATTGAATTCTAATCAGATCTGCTTATCATCGAATATATATCAGCATTATATTTGGCACAGACAAGAAACAGTATGTAAACTCGCCAGTTAAAATTAAGATTCAAACCTCGACGGCTACGTCGGGAGTGAGCGTTATATTGCAAACCTCGGTACTTAAGAGGACGATATACCATTAGAGGAACTTTTCAGAGCCATTCTTTTTCAATAATTTTAGTAATTTTAAACTTAAAGAACAGAAAAAACAAAACAAATTTTGACAAAGAAAGAGTAAACAAAGCAAGTTTCAAATGCTGAAAGTTATGCCTAAGTATCAAATTGCAAATAATTTACAACATGGTTACTTTCCCTCTCTCACAAGGAGCTAATCCAGCCATAATTTATTTGAAACTTGATAATATAAGAAAAAAATCAGCAGTTGAAATTTCGCAGTTTACTTACTCTTTAGTTTATTCGAACTCATTTTTTATATACTGTAAATTTTAGGTCAATAACGTAATAGATAGAGAATTTGCCATAAAGGATATATCTTACTGTAAAATTCATTTTTACAGAAAAATATTATACCATAGTTTTTATAAAATAATATTTGTTTATGAGTGATTCAGTGATTTTACGATAATTATTACTGTAAAAATCAGATATTCCGTAACATATATTGGTAGAAATGGATTTTCCGTAAAAAGTACCCGGCACATTTTTATAGTGTAGCGTCTCTTAAAATGTACGCAGGGTGAATGAGAAATAACTGATCGATTTCAATGCTAAAACAGTTAATAATATAACTTCTGTTAAAAATAATGGGTTCTGATTCTTTTTCTCATCTATTAGCTTGTAAGCACTGCTATTCAGTGATTTTGGTGCAAAAACCTCTGGTGTACCAACGCAGTTTGGTAAAATCAAGAATAACTTATAACACCCCATCGGACGTTTCTAGGTAGAAATGGAGTAGCGCTGAAAAGTTTTTCACAATTAACGAAAATTTTATCAAAATCACCTTATTCACACTACATTGACAAAGAGAGATTTTATTTTTTTCATAACCGTTGTTGAACAGCCGACCCAATATTCGGTTTACAGCTATTAATGTTCAACTTCATATGCCTTGTAATTTTGAATTCATTTCAGAAGACAAAGGAACTTCTGGATCAAGTATTGGGAGAAATTCGCCTTAGCGGAGGATTTTTTGATGGAACTAACCCGTCTTTGCGTTACATAACCACGGAAGGAAAGCCACGGAAACCTCCCACGGTTAGCCTAACGGCAAGGGGATTCTAACCCATTATCCGTCTATCACTGAGGTCATTTTAAGACAGGACTGTAGTTCGTGTAAGCCGGATGCGGGATCTGTATCAACCAGCCATCGCTGGTATTCGAACCCGGTTCACCTAATTGGAAGGCGAAAGCTCTATCCCTTGAGCCACCACGACTCACGAAGGGAGGTTAGAAAACTTCCAGCTTTTCATATAAATCGTAATAAATTAGTAAATAATTAGTAAATGCAATTGTATTTTAAAGTTTTATATTTTATTTGTCTTGCAAAAAATTTGGGTTTTCTTAGACACTTTAAACTCGTTTTTTTTACTATCTGTAAAAAAGATGCTAGTATCAGTGTAGAAAGAAATAAAGACATTTTCTACAAAGGGATAAACTATTTTTTAAAGGTTTTACGAAACTCATTCAGACAAAAACTGGTACTAAATAGATATACTTTATCAACTTTTGGCATTTTTTTACTAAGAAAGGTCAAAATCGATATTAGTAGGGGAATAGTACCGTAAATAATCGATATTTCGTAATAGAATAGAATAGACTTTGGCATCACTGACATATTTATACCGTTTTGCGTTTAATTTACTTCCATTACTTTTAATCGGCATAAAATGCTGATGAAAATTTATGAAATTATTATTTATTTAAGCAGTTATTATTTCTAAAATCTTGTTTCGATATCAATTTTGTGTTTTTATTTCCTTTAAATAGAGAAATGAGATACAGCAACTGAATTTTTAAAAATGACTAAAGCTTTAATATTTTCTTTAAACCCAAGGTATTTATAAAATCCAATTAATGTCAGAGAGCTTACAAGAAGATTCTGAATTTTTTTACTTAGAATTTTAATCAAAATTCTTGTAATCTTTATGAATTTACTTTTTTAAAAAATATCTTTCTTGACTGACATTTTTGGATTGTATCGATTATTTCTATACTAGAAGTTTCTGAAGCGTAACTTTTCGCTAGAAGAAAATTATATTGTTCTAAGTGCCATGGTATTTCAATTTATTTTTGATATTATTCTCTTATCATTTTCTTACTTATTATTCTTTTAAGTATTTTTGAGTGGAATAACTTTTTTTTTCAAATTTAAATCTGAAAATATTTTTCAATCTAATTTGAGACAATTTTTTTACTTCTTAAAAACACTTAAGAAAGAAATTCTCTAGAAAAAGGTTTAAATGATAAAAGGAAAATTTTGCCTTTTTTTTTAAACATATTTCATAGCTAATGGCATTTGATTTATTTCTAAAATCGTAAATAGAAATTCTTTGCATAGATTAACGTTTTTAATATTATCTTGAAAAAAAAAATAATCTCATTACATAGAAAATAAAAATCGAAAAAAGCCACAGCGATATTTTTGCAGTATTATAATTGTTGCGATATCAAATGAATGCTTTTTTTTATGAAATTCAAATACATTGATAATTTTATTTTATAACCATTGTGGCACAGTCGACCCAATTTTTGAGTTTATGACTACTAATGCTCAATTCCGTAACCTTGCAATTTTGAATCCAATCTGGAAGACAAGGGAACTTCTGGATTAAGCATTGGGGCAAAATAGCCTTCCTGGAGAACTTTCTGATGGAACTTACTTACATTTGCGCTACATGATGAGGAAAACCTTGAAATTTCCCACTGTTAGCCAAGGGGACTCTAGCCCATGATCCGTCTACCACTGAGGATATTCTAGAGAAGCACTGTGAGTGGTGCGGAATTCGTTTGAGCCACCACTGGTATTTGAACCCCATGTCACCATGGCTCATACATTGATGATTGAAAAGCTTCATTTCGTAAATATTTAATCGAAATATTGAAACAATATTTTCTTAAAATGATTAAACAGTGGTTAAGTTTTCGGACGGGAATATAAACCAGTCATTAAAATAAATGGGACTATATTTGATGTCATTATATCTACATATATATATTTTTTAAAATTCGACTTCTCAGGAACTATTCAACCTATTTTGCAAAAATCTTGTATTTAGACATATAATATTACGTTCTCTAAAATAATGTAAAAAATTATATTCCTTGCAACTCAAAATTTGCTCAACTATTATTAAATAATATAATAAAATAATGAATATTTACTAAAAATTTTTTTTTTCTTTTTTGCATAAAATTATCTTCGGATAAACAAATTTTATAATAGTGTGCAAAATTTTTTCAATTCACTCAAAAAGTACCACCCATTTTTAGGGCATGAGAAATCTAATATCGTCAAAAAAAGAGTATGTTTGATCAGAGAAAGTACGTTTTAGTGTTTGACTTCGTAAGTTAAAATGTGTTTTGCACTAGCATATTCGAGGCAGCCCCTCGAACTATTAAGATTGAATCTTAGAACGTGAAGATCCGATCATAGGATCAAAGTTATTCAAATTTTTACGTTTGTTTTCGTAATGTGCGTAATGGGACAATTATAAACCAAACTTTATAATGATTGGTTAGTACAATAAATTAATACTTATAATAATTGGTTATTACAATGAATAAAATTATTATTACTTTTATTTTTGTAAATATATTTTGCCGACAGTGCAAGTTTAAGATGATAGTTAAATTTTTAGGTAGTGTTTTTGTTAATATTTGTTCGATTCTGGTTTAAAAATTGATGATTTTTGGAAACTGGAAAGTTCCAGTATTTATTTTGGTTTAACTAAATCACTAGATACAAAATAAATAGGTATAAAGCTTGTCATGAACTTATTTGACATTCCCGATATGATAAAATGAGAATAAGATGATCAGCAATTCCATTTTTAAAACAATTTTTTCAAAACTACGATGTAAATTTTTAATAATATATCTCTTTATATACTCTTTATATCTCTTTATATACTTGTACTATTTCTGTTTGAAAATTGGAGCATTTAGAATGATGGTTGAAAACTTTTGCTACATGTATGAGAAACTTCAATAGTAATTGTTCTAACTAAATCACTTGATGCAAAAATAAATAGATATAACACTTATTGTGTAGTTACATAATATTGTTGTTATGTATTTATTTAAAATGATAAAAATCACATTCTATAAAATTATAAAAATTACTTACCATATTGACATCTGTGTCCTTGATAACCGGGTTGACACATGCATCGGAAATTATGTCCATTTCGTCCTCGACCCAAACAACGTCCGGAATTGTAGCATAATCCATCATTACATTGGGCTAGTAGCACGAAAAAAACAATAGTCACTTTCATTGAATTTAAAACATTCATATTTGCATCCATTTAAGTAGGTATTTGGTAATATGTAATTAAAGATGTTAGCAGTTTTTCAAAAAATCACATACGAAAACTAATTCCATAATTTAAATTTCTCTTCTCTTTCATAGTATTTTTCTCTTTGAAATCAAAGAATCAAAAAGTAGAACGGGATTAAAAAAATATAAAATTACTATTTGAAGTGAATTTTAATTACGGGTTTAAGTATAAGACTTTCTTAAGATTATTTCAACAAGCATTTCGGAAATTAAAAACAAATTAAAACATTATTGATGGAGGAAAAATGCAAATTAAAATTCTTCTTCTGAAAATCACCAGAAAAAAATAAAAGTTTGTAGCAATGAAAAGTGGAAATAATATAATACATTTGTGAAGGAAGGAAGATTCTCTAATTTAAAATATTGAATTTTAATTCCTTATAAGTTTTCCTATAGCATCACATAAGGTCTAGTTCCGTAGGTATCGTAGTAAAATACTAATTCAGAAATATTTGCCGGAGAAAAAAATTCAGCTTTGAACTCTCTTGGTCCTGTCAACAGCGATGAAAAATTGCAAATACCACGCGTGAAAAAAACATGGAGGCAGAACGTGAAAGTGAGGAAATAAATACCGAAAACAAATCTATCTTAGTGAATGACATTAACGAAACACACGAACGCTGTCATTTGCACCACTAAGTTCTGGACGGATATAAACAATCTTAGGAAGTAACTTTGGGAAACTAAGGGAGAGAGTAACTGGGTTCTTCGTTTGCAACAGAGGGATGATTTCAAATGATACAAGAAGATGGAAATGCTTAAGGGTTGTTCTTGATGCAGACGCTCCTTCACTTGCGTCACAATGCTTACAAAAACAAGATCATGAAATGACTCGGAATTTCGTTTCTGTTAGACTTTCTGTGGAAGCGATGTTTCAAACCCGAATAAATATTAATAAGAAATAACAGATTTTATTTGTTATGATAAATAATTGCTTTTTGAAAATAATCTCACATTAGGCAAATTGATGTACGGATGTTTTGTTTGATATGTTTAATCTTTGTTTCTGTTTGAATACTTAAATCAAGAGTGATTCAATTTAAAATTCTATTAGTATCTATAGATTGAGCACTTTTAAAAATAAATTGAAAACTACATTAAATCATAATTAAAAGATTATTTTTAATCGTAAAAGACGTTCAAAATGCAGTTTTTTAATATTGAATAAAACTATTTAGCTTTTCAAAATATAAAGAGAAAATCGGAATGATTTTTTTAAAATTTATCTCGCCATCTTGACGTGCAATATGCGAAATACACTTTTTTCTCAACAATTTTATTTTTATTTATTTTTTCTGTACAGAGAGCACATTAAACAAATACAGTCATTTTCTTATTTTGACTCGTTATTTGATTTGATCTTACTATATGATTTACAAATTTAACTCTCACCTTGACGTGAAAAATCCAAAATGTGGATTATTTCCTTCAAGGATTAATATTTTAATTATTTTTCCATACAGAGAACGCTTTAAACATACAGTCCTTTTATTATTTTGACATTTGATCTGATCACACGTTTTGATTTTTTGATTTGACTCCTCATATGCATTGACGTGCGTATGAAATGCGCTTTTTTTCTCAAGAACTTTATTTTCAATTATTTTCCCGTACAGATCCTGGATCATACAAATAACAGTCCTCTTATTATTTTGAATCTTTTTTTTATCTTCAATAATAAATTTTTTTAACTTTGTTTTTGACTCAGTAAAATTATTGAATACTTAAATAATTTCAAAAATAAGCAATGGCCTGTTTCATCCCGAAAACTTTGAGTAAATAATTTTTATCAATAAAAAATAAATCTTAAGAATAATTAGCTTACTTCAGATTTAATTTTTTTTCTATAAACTAATCATGATCGTGAGATTCACTGAATGAAAAATTATCTTGAACTTTACTGAATTGAAGTTAAGGAAAACTCTTTGTACGCAATAGAAGCATAATTCACAAGAAGATATTAAATGGCATGCAGTCATTTATAATTATACGAAACGAAGTTAAGTGTAAATCCTGCAATTAGTAAAATAAAACATTCTTATAGTGAACAAAGAATTCGAAATTTAGAAAAGAAAATTCTATCCTTTTTGCTTTTATCATGTACAAAATATGGAAAGTGAGGTAAAATCCTGTCGGAGTCCTGTCCTTTTCCTGTAGAGAGCCTGTCGGAGATAAGCTGTTAGACCTAAAAACTGTTAGATTAAATGAAGATATTCATTATTTGATTTAGTACAATATATCATTCCTGAAAAATCATATACTAATTTTTAATAAATGATTTTTTATACGAAAAATCACCTGGTCTTAACCCCACTAGTAGGATAAGACCGGGTACGCATGATAATTCTATTTGACATTTAGAAATACTAGAATGTCACTGAAAAAGTATAAGGAATTTCTATTTTATATGAGAAGTTAAGAAAATTGTGCTTGCAAATTACATGTGATGTAGTCAAGGTCGTACTCAGGGGGAGGGAGGCAATTGCCTCAGAGCCCTTGACTACTGAGGGTCCGATCGAAATTCCTTACAGAAATATAGGGTATATTAATAATTTTTTTTAAAAAAAGAAAATCGAAGGGAATTTCTCTATATTTCAATAAAAAACTTCAATTTTCTATAGAGGGTCGTCATATATTCTACAAAATAGGGAAATAGGGCATTTTGTGCTTTGAGAAGGAGTGCACAATGCATTTTGTTCTGAGGCCCGTAAAACCTTCATTCAGTCTTGGAAACCGTTAATTTCGTGGGCCCAGCCTAGACACACATCAAGAGGTGCAAAATCGGGTAGCACCCGGTCTTACCCTGGAAACAGAAGTTTATCGAAACGAAACAGAGCAATTCGACTATTGGACTAAATCCTTATTGTTTGTTAAGGTATGAATCCCTTGTAAATGCAGAATAAACAGAGGTAAAAATTATTTTTTAACTTTAATGACCCGTGAATAAGCCTAGTTTAAAAACAAAAGAGCATTGGAGAGTTGACATATTAAAACAAACTTATCTTCACAGACAAGAGATGCCAGTTGCTCTGGATTAGATAAAATATTTTATAAAACTGTAGACAGCAACAAACTTAAATTTGAAGATTTTCAATTAATTTAGCAAACATTCAAAAAGGCTCAACTGTTACTAAGTGGCTTATCACACAAGCCTTTGAATTTTTAAGAAGTAGTGGTGAGTAAAAGCCACATAAATCACATTTACTAAACCATTAAAAGACTACCACTCGAAATTATGTATCCACTGTCTGGAGCGAGTTGGCATCTCTGCGCAGGATTAATCAGCAATTGCATGCCAATATGATATGTAATTCATCCAGGTAGTAAAGTGTAATTTAGAGTTTGCCCGATAGAAAATAGAACGAATTTTGACACAATCGAAGCACCCGATCTCACCACACTCTCTCCTGCTTGATATCATATGCAGATAAAACACTATGTCATTCTCAAATATATTCTCAAAGTTTTTAACCATTAACTTCACGAAGCTATTCAACCCTTTGACAAATGAATGAAAATCAGAAATATAATAGATTAAATCTTGAAGACATGTTAATTAGAGGTTGCAAAAGAAAACTTCATTTTGAGAAAGATAGATAACAATTTCAAAGGCGTTCACATGAAGCAAAACAGATGAACATGAAAACCAAGCACCTGTATGCTAATAAAAGAAGTAATTCTATTACATTTGAAACGATCGGTGAAAAGAGAATCGTAATTATCATTAATGAGTATAAATTTAGGTTCAAAAGACTGAAGAATTCGACGAACCTTAAGAATTTGATTCAGTATTTAATGTGGGTTGGGGCATGGCTTAATTGAAGGTTATAAAGAGGAAAGAGGGTAGGTGCTTCAACTTAATTGCTATGGGTGCTGAATAGGTTTTCTTTCGTCTTTCTTTAGTACCACCCTTTCAGATATTTAACTTTAAATGTACTTATCGTTTATCGTAAAAAATGCACTTTAACATCTGGTTAAAAATATTAAAAAAATCAATATTAATTAATAAAATATATTTGTTTTGTGAATAGCACATGTTAAATTATATTTAAAAAAAAATAACAGGTGTTATATTTTTAAAATGTGATTTTAATGTGATACTTTCTGGTCACCCTTTCAAACATTTAAGGTGTTTTTGAGGTTTACTTGAGGTGTTAAGGTTAATTTGAGTTGACTTTAAAATTAACCTTTGAAAATCAACTTCTGAAGGTTTATAATAAAGTTGTATGAAGTTGCTTAATTCTCACTTGAGGTTGAAAGAAATCTACCTTACAGCAACCAGCTTAGAGAGGTTGTTTATGAGGTTTACAAATTACTTTTTATACACTTCAAGCAAATAAGCATATTTATAGTGAGTTTATTTTCACCCGATTTCAACTGAAACTATTAAGGTGTTTAAAGGGTTGTGAAATTTTTTTCTCATTTACACTTAAGCTCGTTTTGAGGTAGATAGAAACCTAACCAGAGGTAATTTCATCACTCATTTGTTTTTATGATGTAAAATTACACTCCGAGTCATTTATCTACAACCTTTAAAGTGTTAAATAAAATACTTTTGACTGTAAAAAAATAACTTAAGGTGTAAAAAACACACCTAAGGTTGATATTTGACTGGTTCCCCAGACGTTAGACGCTAAAAATGAAGTTATGTTTTGAACCAAACTTAACCTCATCAATATATTACTTCAAAATCAACCTTATATATATCTTAAAAACACTTTATTGTGTTTTAAGGGCTTAGTTGAACAAATATTGAGAAGCATCTTTATATTCCTCAGACGTAACCTTATATATCCCTTAAAAAACACCTTATTGTTTCGTAAAGGCTTAATTGGACAAATATAGAGAAGCAACTTTAAAAAAATCTTTTATACTTTTATAGAAATCTTTTACAAATTAGAGTT